GGCAGGGCTGCGTCACGCACCCCGGGGAAACGGGGCCCGAGCGGGGTGTGGTGACCCCACACGAGCTCCACGCAGGCACCCCGGGGAAATGGGGCCCGAGCGGGGTGTGGTGACCCCACACGAGCTCCACGCAGCCCCCGGGGGGGAGCAAAAATAATGAAGTCGCTTCTCAGCAGGGTTTGGGAGAGCGCTGGTGAGCAGAGCGGGCTCTGGGAGATGGGGAAGGGCCAGTGGGAGGAATCCCACAGGATCCCAGGAAGGAAAAGCCCCCCCCATCCCTGCATTGGGCCCCAGCACCCTTCACCAGCTACGGGGAGCCCAGGGGGGTGCAGCGAACCCCCAAAACGCTCCCGCCTGCACCACCGAGCTGGAACACATCGCATTTATTGCCCCCACACACGTGGGATCCTGAGGCAGGATGGGGAGGGTGGACTTTTGGACCCCCTTTGGGGGTTCTTCAGCACAAGGGGGGCTCAGGCCGTGGTGCTCCACCCATCCCCGCAGCCGGGGTCGGAGCCGCAGGGCAGCGGACACGGCTGAGCTGCCGCCGGGCGCGTGGGAGCATCTGGCGTCGGGCGTCTGCCATATCCAGGCTGGAAGTTTGGAAAAAGGGACTTGTGCCGGGACACAAACCGGCTTCAGAAGAGCGGGGTCATCTGGCGGGGATCATCAGGGAGGATGCTGATGGAGTCCTCGGCGCGGCCGCACAGCAGGCACAGCATGGTGTACTCCTGCGGTGGGACAGGAGGGAGAGGAGCTGCCGCGGCCCCGTTCTCCCGCAGGGAAACCCGAGCCGGAGCCAGCACCCGATCCTCGATTGCAATCAGACCTGGGGGGATCTCATTTCATCTCCACCGGCTCCCCTGAGCCCATTTTCCAGCATTTAGCTGCTGAATCGGCAACATGCCAGGCAGGAGGGCTGGGAGAGCTGCAGGGCCCTCCGCCACGCAGCCACGTCTTGCTGCTCTGGGCCACGCATGTCACTGACATTCCCACACAGGGGCTGCATGGGAGGCGAGAGGTGAGCTCGGCTGCCCCCCACGAAGCAGGGACTAATGCCAGGGGGCTTCAGGTAGCCCCAAGCACAGGGATGCGGCTCTGAAACCTTCGAGGCTGGCACCACAGCTCGCCTCCAAAGCCGCCTGGCTCCCTCCTGCGGCTGCCGGGGCAGGAGGGAACCAGCAGGGCTGGGAGGATCTGGAAACCCGGAGGCAGAGGAACGGCTCGGGGCTCAGCTTTAGGACGGCTCCGGAGCCGGAGAGGGGCTGCAGGGGGAGAAGCCGCCCCCCTGGGCGCACCTGGTAGTCGTCCACCACGCTGAAGGTGTACTCGTGGCGCGCGATCAGGTGGTGGCAGTTCTTGCACAGGTCTGCGGAGGAGAGAGGACGGCGGGTTAAGGGGCTGCAGGGACACGGGGTACCTGGGGTACCCCCCACCTACAACCCCCCTAGTCCCTTGGGGAGAAGCCCCCTCCCTCCGTGCCTGCCCCCAGGGTGGGTCCCGGCGCACCAAAC